TCGAGTCCCTCTCCTTGACTCAAAAATAAATACTCAATTTATGATACCTGGAAATCCGGATGTTACATTATAATCACACACTTAAAATAATTCATTAAAAATATATCAAGTTGCTTTAGTTCTATTCTTGTCCATTCACTTCATTCGTTTCTAGCTAGTAAAGATCGGAGTGTCTACTGAAACATAGCATCATCGTTCAGCTCGAATTAACATCTATTATTATTTATGTTCTTATCTTTAACTTAACTTTCATTTCCATCACGAACTATCTTAAAGTCAACTTTGCTACTTGTTAGTAATATCAACAACTAAATATTTATGTATCATATGACATTTTTTTAATGAATTTCGCTTTCTTGGATTCATTCCCTTTTATAGATAACAAGGTGTCAAAAATTGATACAACATGATAATTTAACACGAACTCGACATCAAATAAACGTGTTTAGGTAAAAGGTTTCAATCTATTTAATTAAACAGGTTGACATAACATGACACAAAAATTAAACATATAAGGTTATATATGGTTGGGAGTTTCTACTCGAAAATAACTTGTTTATTTATATGCATGTTTTTTTTTTAATTTATAGATAAATTGGATAGACACAAAATGAAAACCATGTATAAAAGAAAAATTTTGGGTTTAGTTATTTTGTAAATTTTTCTTTTTTCTTCCATACTCCACTGTCTCATTCGAACACTCCATCTTCCTCATGACCTCTCCCTTCCAACTCCCAACTCCAACTCCTACGCTTTTTATTTTTCATGTTTATTTCCCTTATTCTCAACTCCTACTCTTTCAACTTGTTTAGTGCGTCAACTTGACAGGAAACAACATATTTACAAGGTCTAAACCCTAACATGCTAACCCAACACGAACAAGACAAAAAAATAAACGAGATGATATGCCATACCGTGTTAATTAAACATATCAAATTACGGTCCAACTCTCTCAACCTATTTAATGTTTAAGCTCGACATGAACCCGACAAGACTTGGCGTATGTTCCGGTCCTCCTATCTGCAGGCTATGAAAAAATACATCCACTCATAAGTTGAACTGAAAAGCAAAACATAGGGCAACATCAAAATGTTGTAGCATTTTACCTTTTAGTCTACATTATTGATTTGAATCCACTAGTATTCTCTTTCTTTAAGTGGTATATTGGAAGGCGTGGATACATATGCTATACAATACTACTATTTACACATATGTTATATAGATAATTACTATTTGTACATGCATATCTATTAAGAAAACTTCATTCATATATATGATCATCATTGTCTATGTTGATGATAAAACATCATTTGGACGAATAAAGAAATCTATGAAATGGCTGAATTTTAAAGAAATAATTTCAAATTTAAAATATTGGAAAAACCAATTATTGTATTGTCTTAAAGATTGAGCATGTGTCTAATTGACTACATTTGCATCAATTAAATTATACAAAAAATGTCTTGAAACGTTTCAATATGGAGAATGTCAAACCTTTTTTAAGCACTCTAATAGTTGTTTGTTTAATCATTAAATATTAAATATAAATCAATAGTCTATTTTGGTCATTCGGATAATTGAAGAACATTTTAGTAAAGAAGTAAACATTAATGTAACCGGGCCTCTTATGTATCTAGCCAATTATACTAAACCTACCTGACACTTATTTTCCTATGAATTTACTAGCAAGGTTTTGTTCATATGCGGTAATGGTGATTGTTTGAATGCATCGATTCAATCCAATCAAGTAAATTCAAATTGACTGTGGTTTTTAAAATATGAATCAGAATAATACAAACTAATTCAAAATCCAATATGAACAAAAAAAATTATAATTCGATTGGATATGTTTTCAAAATTAGGGTCTCAATAACTCAGACATTCCAAAAAATACATATTTAACATTAACAAACTTTAGTTACCAAGATTAAGTTCCACATAGTTAACTTAGTCAACTCTAACAAAATAAGTAAAAAGAAACATGTTACTTATGAACTACATAATTGAAAAAATGTACAGAGTAAATAACATCATAATCCAATATTATACATATAAAAACCGATACGATTAAGCTCGGCGAAACAAGAGTTATGAGTTTTAATAAAAAAAAACTCCTACTTTAATGTTAATGCAACTCGTCCCGACTTCGTTTGGACTAGATAATGATAAGGCTTCAACTTTAATGTACGAAGATAACACAACATGTGTCACTCAAATGAAAGAATGATATATCAAGAACGATTGGATGAAATATATACATCCAAAATTCTTTGTATACACTCAAAAGTCGATAAAGGAAAATCAAGTTGAACTAAAATATATACAATCTAGAAATAATGCAAACAAATCTTTTCATGAATGCTCGTCATGCTTCAATATTCAGAAAACATGCCTATGGTATCTAAATGTGACATGCGCACAACACATAACGAGTAATAAATATCTAAGCCAGCGGAAGTCAACTATATTAACTCTTTTTTCCTTCACTAAAGTTTTTTCAAATTGAATTTCTCTTGAGAACGTTGAAGTCAAACTCAAAAATTGCAATATGTAAGATTTATATAGTTGATTAGGGATGGACAAACCAAATGGATTATCGATTTTCAATCTTTTAAACTATATACTTACTATTTTGATGATACATCAACAATATATAAGTGTATTGTAGTATAAATAGTCATTAATGTAAAAGATGAAAACACTATTATATAAAACACTCTATTATATAGATTAACATTTACCATGTTGTCGCTACTGTTCCTAGGAACATATTAGCTACAGATTTTATTTTTAAGTGAAGGCACTTTAGTTAACATGTGTTTGAGTTATGTCTACAGGTGGATTCACTGCAGGAGTAGTTGGTGTTTCTTGAGTATATAAAGGCTCTGTGTGGGGTGTTTTGGTTCCTTCATCGCTTTTTGCCTCATTCAATGCAACAGGAATATTTACCACATTGGTGTCACTCTGATCAACTTGAATCTCCTTTGTTACAGAATGACTGAACTTAGACTTGATTATCTCTGACAAAATGCTTCCTGTTTCAGACTCTGCACAAGAATAAAGAAACAGAAACAATCATGTATGTGACTTTTGACTAGCAAAATGATATATATAGAAAGGTAAGTACTAGGCACCTATATATTTCAAAATAACAGCATATGCTGCAGACTGTTCAGCTTTCTTCTTGGTGAGACAGTTATCTCCAGTAAAAGAAGCATCATCAAAAAAAACCAAAGAAGAATGAAAAACTGGAACTGATGAGCACGATTGAGTCGTCTGATAAGTGGGTCTCTGTATATCCATCCTCACAGCATATTCCGCAAGAATAGCCTTGCAGAAACCTTTATCCTGAACATATATATAATGCCCCACAATGTAAAGGGAAATTTGTATATTAAATTATATACTCAAAAGCAAGAATCAGTGTATGCACAAACCTCACGAAGATGATTCAATGCTTCGTCTTTTAGCTTCTGTATTATAGCAAAAAGTGTGATTTTAGAAGAATCTTCCTCGGCCAGCTTACAGTGTGTAAATGTGTTTGGAGATGTATAGCTCACACCATCAAACCAAATGGTAGTTCTGAATTTTGGTTGATGTTCAGCTCCTTCATTGTTAGTTTGATATATTGGGGCTTGTTTCCTTAGCCTTTGAACCTGTTCATTCAGAAGACGTTTGTACGATTGTTGTTGCATTCCTACAAATAAACCAAACAAAAAAAAAAGGATATGAAATTAGATTATATCTAAGCTATGTTATATTGCTATTGTTATATAATCAGTATTATACAGAGTTATATCGGGAGTGAAAACGTTACCTACTTCTACTTGATTGTTGCTCTGATCCTTTTTGCTAGATTTCTTCTCGTCTGAGATTTTCTCTTTCTTGGTGGATTGTTTAGAAACATCGCGTTCAAGTTCAACCACATAAACATTAACGGTCTTTGTAACACTTTGAAGCACATTCATCAGGTGACAAATATCATCATCGTCAACCATGTCCATAACATAGAGCATTTCAGGATGTTTAAAAGCCAAAGTGATATTTGATATATCTGATAAACCGACCTTTTTCTTAACCAATTGTAGGAAATCGGCATAATTGATATTCCTAGAAAAATGCACTCCAAAGTTGTTACCAAAACTCCTAACGTATTTTGGTTGTTCATCACCGGTCTCCCACTCCCACTTCCCACCCGTACAAATGATAACGAAAAACCGACTGGAACTCGTATTTTCTTTAACTGTAAAATCATTTTAATTTATTGGAATAATTTCCTATAACGATATAATGAAATTAATGAAATTTTATGGAAATATAATCGTTGTACATGTTAATCGTTCTTGCATGATGACTGAGAATATAATCAAGTAAATAAAAAATTATGCAACTAGTAAAGGTTAAAATACTCTTAGAGAGTCATGCCTTGAACATATTTTAGTTAACTATGTACTTCGCATCTCAAGAATAATGAAAAAGTATGAAGAGAAACGAGGTTATTGTACTTGCATTCTCTAAAAACTTTTCACATATGAGAGAGAGAGAGAGAGAGAGAGAGAGAGAGAGGAAGTCGAAGAAGAGTTGATAAATTTACCGGTGGCTAACGGCTGAGATGAAGGGTCCACTGTCTCTGGCCCCGGCATCTTTATCTGTCTGGTTTCTCGAGTACTCGACGGCGAGGAGTGGCGAAAGGCGAGACTTCAATTTAGGAACTTTATATTTTCAGGTCGAATAGAGACTTCTCTGAAGATGAACTCTTATTTGAAACTAGGGTAAATTACACGAATAGTCCCTGTGGTTTGGAGTAATTTGAGTGTTTAGTCCTTAACTTATTTTTTTAATTCGGATCATCCCTATAGTTTCATTTTGTTTCGAGTTTAGTCCCTCACGGACATGAAATGACTGTTATACCCTTATCTATATATTTTTTTAGTTTTTTTCTTTATTAATGATTTTATTCGTTTATTAATATTAATTTAATGGGTCCCACTCTAGTTTCAGAGGTGGTCTCTCTCACTAACAAACACACTCTCACTCTCCTCTCTGAAAATCAAAAGAAATGCTCTCTCTCATACACCGGTGAATACCAGTCATAACACCGTCACCTCCGGGAGCCAACATCAATGCCCTACCCCACAACCATTGTTTTCTCCCGAGTCTGTAAAGAAACGAACTTCAAAAATCTATCAAAACTGCAACAAATTACAACAATTGAACTTGAGATGATTTCAACCCTAAACACGCAAAAAAAATTCGATTGAGAGAGGAATTGATTTTCAAAAATCTTTGGCGACCCTATGAGAATTCGAAATCAATTACTTAGTTCAAATCCCGAGTCGATTTCCACATGTGATAATTCCAAGAGATCATAGAGGAAAGGTGTTACCATTAAGTCTTTAACGGGATTAAAGAACCTCCACAACTTGACTGATGAATCGAGCCATCTTCAATCAATAGATGTACACCAAAAATCGAAGAGGGGACCAGGGCTTTTTTTGACGGATATGCAACCACCGTACCCAAAGTCGTGGGTTTCTGATGATGATGAAATTCGTTGGATTTTTGGTGTTCCTAATAAAAAAACCCATCCACATCCTTCTCTACACTCCAAAGAAACATCAATCATTTTCTATCTATCTCTTACATCGCGGAAGAATAATGGCCTGAGAGCCACCGCTACTCTGCCACCCCCACACAACCCACCGTATATGAAACCTCGATATGCCCCCTCCTCCGTCTGAATCGACCCCAACATATCCGATCTGAAGCCATCGTCTTGTCGCAAACCTATAGATGTGAAGGGGGTGGTGGTGGTTTGCCGGAGGTTAAGTACAAGAAGAAGAGAGTGAATCATTGGATACCTACCGCTGGAGCTAAAAAAAAAACTGGTTGCGGCTCCTCACAAACAATAATCGGAAAAGGGCAAAACTCGTTTCCACCATGGATGAAAAGGTAACCACTAAGGGTGGTGAAATTGACTATGAGGAAGTCGAAATGGTGGTGCGTTTGGGACTATTATGCACAAAGTCTTGGGTGAGGGTGGTGTTGGACCTATTTATTTTAATTATTAATAAAAGAAGAAAAATAAATCATTAAAAATAATAATAATAAATCAGAAAGGGCAAAAGAGTCATTGCAGGTCTGTTAGGGACTACATGCGAAACAAAATCAAACAACAGGGATGATCCGAGTTACAAGAATAAGTTAGGGACCAAGTATGCAATTTACCCTAAACCATAGGGACTATTCGTGTAATTTACTCTTGAAACTATTCACAAACAACCCTCCGTTATGTTATTTGAACAAAAATACGCCCTCGTTGTTTGGGTACTTGATGGAATGGCCCCTATAATTGTTCTAAAGTCAAAAATGCTCTTCTATCGAAATCTATGTTTAACATACTCCAAACATGGAATTTGCATTTTTTTTTCATATTAATAGTAAAGTTTGATTATTAATGAAAAAGAATATAATGATACCACAATTGACAAAAACATAATAATATTTTCCCTTTTTTTTTTACCATGTACTAAATTTAGTTATATAAAAACGAGTAAAAGACATAAATATTTTATAATTAGATAACGATAAATCATTGTATTAAAAGAGTCGATTTGATGATCATAAAAA